GCCATTTACCCCATAAAGATTTCATTTGACAACCCTTCAACCTCCGCCCACTGCTGCAATATCTGTGTGAGCGTGTGTGTGTGTGGGTTAGTGAGTAAATCAGGTGTCAATCTGACTTGTTATAGTCTAGTTTGGTGTCTTGAGTGGGTCTTCCAGGTAGAGAACACCTACACGACAAACTTTCATGTGTGGGCGAGTGTGAATTAGACAGCTGTAAGGTGCCATGGGCCAGTCACCCAATCCGTGACAGCAAAATGAATATCAGTGGAAATGGTGAAAATATATTCCCACATTTATTCCCAGATGGTGCGATTTCCTTTCGGAGCAAAACACAGCTTGTCGCAAATAATGTGTCTCAGGACAGACAGAATATTGACAGTCTTTTGTCTTTAGTGAATGTGATTCGGTGTGTGTTTGGTAATGTGTGTTTTGACTGGCGCTGAGATTGGATGCTTTTGATTTGTCATCTGCTCATGAGCCTTATTCACATGAGACTGAATTAGTCGGGGAAATTTGGGTTTCACAGTATTTTGTGATTTAAATCTCATATGAATCAAACACTGTGTTTTTCTCATACAGTCCTTGTAAAGGATAAATTACCGGTATTTTACCTGTGCTCGCTGAGAAATCATATGTCTTCGATTGCGGTCTTTTTATACCCAATCATGTTGTCAATTGACCTAATAAGTTGCAAATTGGTCCTCCAGCTGTTCCTTATATGTACATTTAATTTTTCCGGCCTCTTATTGCTACCTGTCCCACCTTTTTTGGAATGTGTAGCTCTCATGAAATCGAAAATGAGCCAATATTTGGCATGACATTTCAAAATGTCTCACTTTCAACATTTGATATGTTATCTATATTCTATTGTGAATAAAATATAAGTTTATGAGATTTGTAAATTATTCCATTCCTTTTTTACTCACAATTTGTACAGTGTCCCAACTTTTTTGGAATTGGGTTTGTACATGTACTTACTATATGATTAGAGTTAGGGGTTGCACTTTATTTTACAGTAAGTGAACTTACATGTACTTACAGTGTACTTATAATGTGCCTACCTAAGAAAGTACTGGTAATAATAGGTAACTACATGGGGTAGGTTTAGGTTTAGGGGTAGGTTCAGGGTTAGTACCTAGTTATTAACTAGTCATTGTAATTACTAAAATAAGTACATAGTATGCACACGAGTAACCGGACTGTAAAATAAAGTGCTACCGAGTTAGGATTAGGGTTTGGTTTAGGGTTACTTGCATGTAATTATGCATAATTTATTGTTATTATAATACTAAGTACATATAACATGTAACAAGGACACCTTAAATAAAGTGTTACCTTATTTTGTTAATGAACCAGAATAAACATCTACAGCAATTTTTAGCAATTCCTTCATGTCTCATTACTTGATCTACAAAAGGTTACTGTAAGATCTTTTGCTCAAAATTGGATTAAAAATGCAGTTACTTCATGAAAAAAAATAAATAAATAAATAACTTTTTATATGTATATATTTACATCTCTTTTTTCACTCATTATTTGACCAGACTGCTTAAAGATTATTTTTTTTGCTGAAATATTTTAATAAAAAATTTAATTATAAAGTATATAGCATTTCAAATCACTTTTTTCACGCATAATTTGGCCAAACTGCTGAAAGATAGAACTTATAAATAAATAAATAATTGTAATAAAAAATTCTAAAATTTTCATTTGTAATTGTGATTTTAATTAAAAATCACTTTTTCACTCATAATTTGACGTTAACCTAAACATTAACTGAAATAAAACAAGGCGACAATTAAAAGCAAACATTCATTAAAACTAAAATTAAAATAAGAATTATTTAAAAATAAAAACAGAAACAAAGCTACTAAAATGTTACCTAAAATGAAAGGTTAAGCACAAAATATATTAAAAAAGTACTAATTTAAAAATGATAAAAACTGCAGTAGTATCTATATGATACTAAAATAATGCAGTCAAATGAAGGATGGGATTCAGAGGATGGAATTACTATTGCACAAGACTGAACTAAGCACGGTTTTCTGGTCATGCCAAGACATTTTTATCACTTCATTTTCATTTACACTCATATTTTCTTGTTATTTTTCCAAGCTTATCTTCAAAGGGGCGCATTTGACCCCAAACGCTCTCTGTGAAGATGAAAAAGACAGGGTGAAGAAACGCTGTCTTGTAAATCAAATAAATGAGGTATTAATAAGCACGTTAGTCGAAGTATCAAAGCTTTCTCGGGCGTCGATCACAGCGGCTGACAGTATGTGTTTCTGAAACAGAGCCCAGCAGCGCTGAATAATTGACGCTATTTGTTTTTGCACAGTCATGCTTTGGATGAGAGTGTGTTTATGTGTTTCTTCACCTGATCTCACAAAACAAGCGCCTTTAAGAACGGGTGCCTACTTTCTTTTTGCACTTTAATAAAGGTTTTTGCACCGACACGTTCTGAAATATTTAGCTTCAGTTCTGTCACTCGTTCATTTTTGGTCATATTGTGGTGATTTTGTTTTCTTGTCTGTTGCTGCAAAACCACGAATGTTGACTGTGATCAGTGAGTTGAAATATATCAAGGGAGAGCTAACCGTAAGCATTCCCATTTATTTCAATGGCAGTTGCTTGGCTGGTGAATGCAGTACAGAAAGAATGTAAAGCCATCATTGCACCAACCAAGCAACTGCCATTGAGATGCATGGGAACATCACGAAAGCGTTCTTTCTTTAAAGAAATAGTTGACCCAAAAATGAACAATTTACTGACAGTTTACTCACTCTCAGGTCATCCAAGATGTAGATGAGTTTGTTTCTTCATCAGATTTGCAGAAATGTAGCATTGCATCACTTGCTCCGCAATGGATGCTCTGCAGTGAATGGGTGCCGTCAGAATGAGAGTCCAAACAGCTGATAAAAACCTCACAATAATCCACAAGTAATCCACACTGCTCCAGTCCATCAGTTATTGTCTTGTGAAGCCAAAAGCAGGATGTTTGTAAGAAACAAATTCATCATCAGGTTGTTTTTAACTTCAAGCCGTTGCTTCTGGTCAGAATACAAGTCCATAATCCATAACACTTCCTCCAGTGAAAAAGTCCATCTCCTGTTGTCTCTCACATAAAAATCCACCAACATATTTGTTCTGAACTGTTTTGGACTGTTTCTGCTCGCAAGCAGTGTTTAATCTGTGCAGAATTCTCTCCCGATTCAGCTTAAACAACTTTTTTTTACTGGAGAAAGCAATATTATAGATAGAGGACTTGTTTTTTAGCCAGAAGCAATGCTTTGAAGTTAAAAACAAACCTAATGATGGATTTGTTTCTGATAGACTGGAGTGGTGTGGATTAATTACTTGTGGATTATTGTGATGTTTTTATCAGCGGTTTAGACTCTCATTCTGATGGCACCCATTCACATGCAGTCCATTGGTGAGCGAGTGATGGAATGCTACATTTCTTCAAATCTGATGAAGAAACAAACTCATCTACATCTTGGATGGCCTGAGGGTGAGGACATTTTTAGCAAATTTTCATTTTTTTGGTGGGTATCTTTGTAGACATATAACATTTGTCTGTTGTTGTTTAGCATACTGTATAACTGTTTCACAGACTATGCTCAGAATATGCCATTTTTCTGCATACTGTACATGCTATATTTCCAAAAATGTTTAATATGCAACAATGCTTGAACTAATTAATTCACAATGCAATGCATTTGACTTGACCCTCCATTTCCAGCGTGACAAATCAAGTCATCTTAGCCATAAAGTTTAACACGTTTTTCATTATTTAATTGGTCCACCAAGAGTTTTAACACAAAATTGCATTCAAAATCCACAAAAAACGGCAATATATCTGACATAACTGAAAGCCTTTGCAGAATTAAACATGCACATAATGACGTCATATGACAGCAATGTGGCACAATACTGTGGCTAATGATGCATGAAATCTGGGTGAGATGGTGGTTTGCATGTATAAGGCCTATATATTTTTTTATTTGGCTGGATTTTGATTTTGTGTATGTTTAGTGCCACAGTAATGAGCCAAAGCATTTTAAACTGGTTCATGTGAACTGAAATATAATGTGCACATGCAGAACAGCCTCTGATGCTGTAATCTACTCAATTATGATCTATTTTAATTATGATAATTAATGCCGGTTTTATATTACAGCACTATAAACTAGCATGGCTTTCATTTTCAATACCGTTGTGCACAAAATATTCAGCTCTGAGCCAAACCAACTGGCTTATGAAATCAAGGTCCCGTTTTTATTGCATTGTTTCTTTTTGGTGACAGGAGTAATTGATCAAACCCAGAATTAAAATCGCCGTATTCAGGGACAGAGAGACTCTCCGTTCGCTTTCATTCGATTTGAGCGAGCGGATCGTATCACTTTGTTTATTGAATCTGCTGCTGAATTCATTTGGTTCAGACCTCGGCACAATAAAACCCAAATTATCTCCCTGAGGAAAATGCTTTAAGTATATTTAATCAGGACAGGATCAGAATTAATTTCGGGAGACTCCCGGGAAGCTTTGCCTGAACTCAGTTTGAGTGTTTCTCAGACCTTGAAATGATTGTCACTGGAGAATCGCTATTAGACAAACATTTAGTCCGGGAGATAGTTAAATCTTGTTTAGTTTAGGAAGGTTTATCTTACACTGAATCTATAGCATCACTTTTGCTCATATTTAGGATCTGAATAAATTCCTAACCCTAATTATTTGTGCTCTGGATCATGTGACTCTTTGAGGAGAGCAACTATTACTTGCATTTGTTCACCAAAAAACACATTTGAGCTTTGCTTTGTGTGGGTGAAACGCCAAACAATGCAAACACTGAACATTTAGTCAGTCATTAGGCTCTTGATTGTGGTATTATATTCGGGCTAATTATCTGTGAAGATTAATTTCATCCTCTTGAGCTGCTTAAAAATGAATGTGAAGGAATATGGAGGTTCTGATTTGAGCTGTCTGTCGTCTGCTTTCAGAATGACACAAAGCGCTGGGAGGATTTCGCTGTATTTGTGGAGCGCTCCAGAATGTCCGTCCCATCTCACACGATGCTGAGCATGTAAAGATCCGGACTGAGGTAAGAAGACTTTTATTAAAGCGCTTCTCAACTGGTTTTTGCTAAAAGGCTCAGATTTTACAGCTCGTACCGAATGAACACAGTAAAATAAATAAAATAATATAACATAAATAAATGTATTATTATTGAAATATATTATTTGTAGCTTAAATGTATTTTTAGATAAATAAAACAAATTATTGTTAAATAAAATAAAATTATTGTTTAAAATATTGTTTATTTATTATATATTTATATTGCATATTTTAATTATATATTTATTATAAAAACATTGAATGTGTTATTGTTTAAATGTATTATTTGTAGTTTTTAAATGATTTAATTAAATTAAATGAATGATTAATTAAACTAAATTTTATATATATATATATATATATATATATATATATATATATATATACACACACACAAACACACACATGCATACATACATAAACATACAATAATTCTAAATATTTATTAGATAACATTGAATATATTATTATTGAAATTTCTTATTTGTAGCTTAAATTTCTTGACATTAAAATATATTTTATATATATATATATATATATATATATATATATATATATATATATATACACACACACAAACACACACATGCATACATACATAAACATACAATAATTCTAAATATTTATTAGATAACATTGAATATATTATTATTGAAATTTCTTATTTGTAGCTTAAATTTCTTGACATTTCTTGAACAATTAAAATAAATTATTGTTTAAAATATTGTTTAAAATATTGTTTAAAATATTTACTATATTTATATTTGTAGTTTAAATGTAATAAAAGTTATTAATGAAAAAGTTTGGGGTATTGTAGTGTAGTATTTAATTACTACTTTTTGAAATAGTTTTTTATACATATAGAATTCATTTATATTACATATTTATATTAATTTCATATTTATTATGATTATAAAGCATACGTAATATAGGTCCTGTTTTCTTATGCCATTTATTTATTAATATTAGCTATTTAAATTGAATTACTATAACCAACAACAAAAGATATGAGAATGATTTTCTCCTCGCTTAAAAAAAGTTTATATTTTTATTTATTGTGCTGTCCTTAATATGCATAATTTTATGCTTAGATGTAGTTTATTATTTGCATATTGCATCTTTTTTTCCCCCTGGCTCCCTGTCACCCATCAGAACAGACCCACGGCCCATTTTGACTTTGCGACACACCAGTTGAGAAGCGCTGTTTTCCAGCACGCTGCGGTGGACACTGCGCTCGCCTTTGAACACCAGCATTGTGCCTTTGCCGTTTGTTATTGTTCACTTTCACAGCGCAGTGGCCTTGATTGTGCTGATCTGCTGCATTCATAATGTACTTCAGAATGGGAAGATCAAGTCTGTGCTCTGGCAGTCTTGTTCAATCAATAATGAAACGAGGTCTTTGTCTAGCACTCTGTCAGACGTGACTTTCCGCTCAAATCTGGACTAGAAACGGCGAATCGCTGCTGGTTTATGCATGCATGCACGAGTCCATGTGATTCCGAGGCTCCGATCTCAGACTTTGTTGTCGAAAAGATAAATGACTGCTGGTGGACTATAAACGAATTCATCTATGGAACGTCCCCTAACCGCAACCACGTGCATGTAGGCAATGTAGCCAACAAAAGCCAATTTGATTTAACCTCCAAAGAGCTTTGTGACATGCTCTTTTTTTTCTAGGTGATTCTAAAGCATTGGTGAGATTGAATGAGGGGCCCCTGGGGGCCAGTCTTGTATATGAAGAGTCAAACATGGAGATATGTGTGCAGATTGATGGGCCGCTTGCCAATAGTTCATCAGCAGGCTGTACGCTCAGCTGCTCGCTCCGGTTCAGATTTATGATGTCATAATGCCGATGAGTGACCTCCAGTGAGGCAAAACCACCGCTGCAGTTTCATCACTTTGATGGGAGCGGCGTCTTTAACTTTGCCAGTAACTTTTAGACGGACGATCCATCCCGAACTACAACTTCAAAGGATTTGTGCAAGACAACTTGTGCTGTGAGACAACTTGAGTAAGCTATGGTTAGGTTGACTACCTTACAAATTATTTCTCTGCAGTGCTTGAAAATGTTGTTCTGTTTCAGTTTTATAATATACCGTATATATAACCCACATTTTTTTCCGTCATTCACAGAATTGTTTTAGCAGTGACGGAAATATCTGAAGGCTCTCCGTCACTTTGACATTACACTGACGGTGATCTATTGTAATTTATAACTGTAATACCCACCCCTGTCCAGTTGGTGGCGAGTGCGCTCCAGTGTGGCAGCAGAGCGCGGGATCATCAGCTCCAGAACAAAAATAAAACACTCACGAGCACTAGTAAAGCAAAAACACTTCGCGCTGCCACATTAAAGAGTGCCAAAACGATATTTATTGCTTGAATTTCCTATTAAAACGGACAGAATTTGAAATCTGAGACTTTGTTTCATATCAAACATAACAACGCACAAAGCCTGTTGCGATTTATTGGATGGGAGGCGCATTATATGTACGGTCAGTGCCGATCCTAGACTTCTGGGGGCCCTACGCAAAACTGTGTCAGTGGGGTGCAGTGGAGTGGGGTATGAGTGGTTATGAACGAATGAATGAAACGCATTTGTCCGTCTTTCACTCCGTCTCGAATCGCGCTCGCGGAAAGCGCTAGAGAAACAGAGTCTCTTCTGTGGCTCGGTACTGATTTTTTTAGTCTCGAGCAAAACTGAACGACATTCACGTTACATGATTTGACTGATTTTTACGTAGAAAGGGCGACAGCGCACGGTATTAAAAGAAATGAACATTCATGTTTTCATAAACGCTGTCCAAATTCAAAAACTAAACTAAAATGAAATCATCTTTGAGAGCAAGGGGGCCCCCTGGTGTTTACGCGTATTTTGCGTATAGGGAGGATCGGCTCTGTGTACGGTTCATTCATCATCTGAAAACAGAATCGATTGGTATTTAAGATTCGATATTGGTTCATAAAAATGAGAATTTATTAAAATCGAGAAATCTAATTTTTTTTACCCAGTCCAAGCATATTTTTGTTGTTGTTAGTGTCCTCCGCTGTCACTGCGGTGTGTTGAACATGAAAAGTGACGCACAGTCCAGAGGTGTAAAGTATTGTAAATCCATTGCAAGAAGAATTCTGCTTTTTAATTTTACTTAACATTATTTTATTTATCCATTATACTGAATATACCTTTTTTAAAGATATTGTTTTTGTTTGTTTGTTTGTTTTGTAATTTTGAGGGGTTCAGTTTTATTTTGGTTTTAATAACATGATTGCACTCCTCACAAATCAACTCTTTCTTGTTTTTGTTTCATGCTCTCTATGCCTTGCCCTGGACTTTTATGTCACTTCCTGTCTCCCGTGGTGTTTGTAGTCAGTTTGTAGTCCGTTTGTTCATTGGTTCCCCTTGATTAGTCTCCCCAGGTGTGTCTTATCTTGTTAAGCTTGTTAGCCCCCTGTGTGTATATATAGCCCTAGTTTTTCTTTAGTTCCTTGTGAGTTGTTGAATGTAATGGTTGTCTGTTTGCCAGTCATTCTGTTCTTTGTTCCCTTTGGTTTTTGGCTTATTGTTTGTTCTAGTTTTTCCATGAAATACCAGCACATAGATTCTTGCCTCTGCCTGTTTTCCGCAGCTTCTCCACAACGTTACAGTTTTTGACTGGCATGACTCTTTGACTAGTGCATCTTTGAGCCTATATTTAGTATAAGTAAAATACTTAAGTACTGTTAAAATCAGATACTCTAAGACTTTTACTCAAGTTGTTTTGGAATTGGTGACTTGTAACGTGTAGTGGAGTAATTTTCACTGTAAGGTATCTGTACTTTTACTCAAGTATGGTTTTTAGGTACTCTTTATACCTCTGGCACAGTCTCTGTTCATCTGTTCTCTTCATAAATAAATAAATGCATAGGCCTATATGCTCGTCCTGGAGGTTTATTATTAAAAATGAAAATGTGATCTACACATTTTAACAGTGATTTCTTAGCCAATTAAAAGGAAGAAATGAGAGAAAAATAAAACTTGTCAATTAAAAAATTAATTTGACATTTCCCCTCACTTCTGAAATGATGGCTACGCCCCTGGATAATGGCTCCAAAAGAGTTCAATTTAATGTAAGGACTCTTGCAAAGATTCTTCCTTATGAATTTATCAATAAATAGCCAAGACTTGAGCACCTTAAAACCTAAAGAACGTCAACACTGAGCTCTAACAGAAGTGAAAGCATAAATGAAATGCTGTGTGGCTGGAGGTGAGTGACAGGCGGCTGATTAATGAAAGTCTTCTGTAGGTTCAGTGTGATGACCTGAACTGAAAACACTTCGTCTGATGAGTCACTTCTCTCAATAACGTCACTCTCGCTTCAGGCCGTTCTGGAGGAGGAGCCTCTGTCACATATTTACCTCATTCACATATATATGATACTGCCATTTTTGATGAAACTGTGATCGTGGCATTTGTTAGTTAGCATGTTAGCATCCCTGATGGAAAATCCACAGCAGCTAGCTTAAGCTCCTTTAAAAATGTATGCCTTTTAAATCGGCATAAATCAGGGAGGTTATTTTCTCATCTTTTATTTATTTTATGCATGCATTTTGCGGATGTTCAGAAGAATCTGTTCAGAGATGTTTACTTGCATGCAGCATTATACAGTTTAATAACTCAGTGCTTCTCTCTGATCTCCATCATACCTGAACACACTTACAGCAGAGACACATTAACATCAGAGGCGTGCTGCGAAACAAAAGCTAAAACAACAATGAGCTACAGTAGATCACATATTCATGCACTGATTTTTTTATTTTTTTTACTAATTAATCATTTTTACTATTTTTTTTTAGAAATGAACTAGATTTTTATGTTTCTGAAGAGAATGTGAGAGTTGTTCATGCCACAATTAGTGTTTGTCAATGTTTTGGTGTTTGGATTTTTAGCTTGTTTTCTGTTCAGTTGCTAGGGTGTTCTGGGTGTGTTTTAATGTGTTGCTATGCAAA